ATACCATATCATCCCATTTCTTCAAGGGTGCAGGTACAAGATCCTGTGTCCCATGCTTTCCTTTACCAAGCTAATGACAGCAAGCCCATTTTCCATTAGATTATTAGTTATGCATGAATGTACACATGTAGGCAGAGGAGCAGGAGAAGGTGTCAGTTTTGCTGAAAAGCTTCTTGAGTGAATCCCAGGATACAATAACTGGAGGCAATCTCATTTCCTCAGAATATAAACGGAGACCATAGCCATTAAATAGTGATCAAACATTGCAGAGACAGTTTATTAGGGATGTATGCAAATAGTGGGTGGGGAATACCAGAGTGTCACTGTGAGTGAACACTGAGACCTCCTCTTTAATTTCTGAGAAATATGCAGTACATACAGAAGAAATAGACAGGCAGGCTGAAAATTGCTTCTGGGCCTGAGTACAGGATTTACATGCAAACGCTGGAATTACAAGAGAAGGCAGAGGATCCCTCTGTACTTCCTTTATAACCTGCTTAACTTTATATATTTCTTCAAAGACTTGAGCTGAATCCACATGAGAACTGTATCCCAACTCCAGAGAGCATTATCCTGTCCTGGGTTAACCTTTCTAACATCACATTCACCTGTTTGAACACAAATTGGTTTTGAAAGCTACATAACCCCCACCCCAACCTGTGCTCCCCAAAACCACTTTGCTTCAAATGCGCATTGTTGACATGTTCACAGTATCAGATTATTTTAGGTCATAAAACCACAGTGGCTTTTTTCTTCCTGGCATGCATAAACCTATCAACCAATTGCCTTTCTTGTTTTCCTGACAGTCTTACCACCTCCTTGCACTCCCACTGGATAGTCCCCAATGTCCTATGAACTCCTCTCCTATCCAGGTGATCAGGTGAGCAAGAGATCTTTAAATGTTGTCACCTAAACTCATTGAAGAAGCATTTAGTTCTCCTGATAGTCACACACATACACAAACACACATGAAATAGAGAGCAAGCTGTGTAGGGGTCAACAGTGTCCCTTCCCCTTGTCCTACTCCCTCCATCTGCCCTGGGGACCTGTGCCTTGGAAAAGTTATTTGGGGGAAATGCTACAAATTCCCATAAATAGAGTTGCTGGGTCCAGACTTTGCCAGGGCCAAAAATTCATTATCAAAACCTGAGGCTGAGGAACAATCCTGAGTGATGTCATTGAGCACATGCTCTGCTGAAGTTACCAGAACCATGTTACAAGGACCAGTTCCTGCTGATGTCATAAGCCACAATAAATTTAGTATCAGCCATGACTTTGTAGATGGTGCCACTCAAATTAACAACCTAACCAACAAGTCTAACAAATCAAGAAGTAAATATACACAAACACTTTTCAACACAGTTCCCCTGTCTTGAGATTCCTCCACCTCATCCTAAAGACTGAGGAAGAGCATCCAGAGCAGGACCAGGTCCAAATATCTGGGAACCCTAACCACAGTCCACATAGCCACCAGCTGTGTGGGCTTGGGAACTCTGTGAGTTATAGCTCCAAACTCCCTAAGACAGTGATTCTCAACCTGTGGGTCCCCAGATGTTTTGGCCTTCAACTCCCAGAAATCCTAACAGCTGGTAAACTGGCTGGGATTTCTGGGAGTTGTAGGCCAAAACACCTGGGGACCCACAGGTTGTGAACCACTGCCCTAAGATGAACAGGGCTTTTTTTTTTTGCAAGATTTGTGGGGAGGGGGCTTGCTTTTACTTTCATCTGGGGCTGAGAGACTAGTCCAAGGCCATCCAAAGAATGTTCATGGCTGAGTTGGTTTCGAATCTTGGTATCCAGATTTATAGTCCAATGCGCAAACCATTGCACCACACTGGCTTTTACAACAGTAACCTATACTTGGAATAACCCATTTCACTCCTCCCAAATAAATGACTGTTTTGGTTGCTGTTTCCTGCCCCCTGGCAGTTTTAGGGAACCCTTATTTCTCAAGATGAACACTATCAACTGCTCAGTGATGTCCATCCAACTGCAAATGGTATAGCTACAAAGGTGAATTCTGACGAGATGTGACCAGTACTTGCCACTGAACAGGTTTGCACATGGGATGCACACTCCTCTTAATGCTCCTTCCCTTCTCAGGAAACAGATGCATTTGCTTCATGATGTTAAGCGGAAAAGAAAAGGCAAGTAATACTCGTATTACCCACATGCTGGGCCTGACAGCAGTTTCTTCCCCTGAAAGCATTTATGGTCTCGACCATCCCTTTCCCTTTTCTGTGAACAAATGCAGCATAATATCTATGCTGTCATAACACAAAGCTGCCAGCATTGACTTGTCAGGTGATCCTTTTGAGGCTGTAGGGGGGACCTAGCCTAATTATACTGATTGGGGTATTAGGATGCAGCACGGATTGGAGACAGCAGCAGGCTTTTTCACCTGCCATCTGCAAACAGCAGGGAGAAGACGCAAACAGTAATAAATAGATAGAGGCTACTAATTAACTGCCAAAAGGATGAGTAATGTACTTTGCTAAGAACAATGCATTCTAACTCAAAGGGGAAACAGATCATCCATTCCAGAAAACAGGGTCATGGTGCTGACTGGCACAATCACATCTTTTTTCACTCACGACCTGTAAAAGCCAGACTTGAGAAAGTTGGATTTTTAGATTGCATCTCCTAGAATTTCCTGGACAACACAGCTACTATCCAAGCCTTCTTCGGCTATGAATGGGATCACCATTCTTTCTGCAGGAAATACAGGAGATTTTGTGATCAAATGTTTCCCTGGACTCAGGCAACACCTTTCAGACTAATTTATTTTAGTATGAGCATATGATCTCCAAATCCATTTCTTCAGATGTACTGATGGAGTGAAGTTAAAGCCACTGAGATTTAAGCATAGTTACACAATTGTGGTATTGGGATAGAATGTAACAGAAAACAGAAAAGATATTGGTAAGTCAGAGGTTGTATGTCCACAAAGCTTGAAATACTTTGATATATTTACTTTATTGTATGTATTTTATTCTGATGTAATTTTGTTGTCTGAATTTTGTATTTTATTCAGTTGTATTGTATCTTCAGGCTTGGCCTCATGTTAGGCACCCCAAGTCCCCTTTGGGGAGATGGTGCCGGGGTATAAATAAAGTTTATTATTATTTCTCCCCCCTCCCCAATCTTTGACTTACAAGTAGTGGTTCTCACATTTTTTTAAAAAAAACTTGAATTAGGAAATAAAACAAATTAATTGGGATATATCCACAAATACCAATCCACTAGCAGTACAATAAAAATAGGCTTCTTGGTACACTACAGATATTAATACATAAGTGCTCACAACTTCCTGTATAGGAAAAGAAGCTTTTGATTACATGGAAGGTTTTGATTACATGGAAATTGACTTTTGGCAAGAAAATTTATTGGTTTCCCAATAAACCAGCCATTTCAAAGCCTTTTGTATTATCTTAATACAACTCATATTATATGTCCAGGTTACAATTTGCTTCTATCTGAATCCTATTCATGTTATATTGCTTCTATAACTGTGCTTAAATGGCTTTAATATCCTTCCATCAATTCATCTGAAGAACTGGATTGATCTCCATGTAAGTTCATGTTAAAATAATCAGTATCAAAGGTCCTGTTAGATCCCTTTCCTATTTTCATAGCATCGGGGGTAGGTGTTGCCATTTGTCCAGCATTTTGAGTGAAAGTGTCTTTATTGGCACCACTAAGCAGCTAGATAAGAAGCTGCCAAACCAGTCTTCTGCCCCTGTCCTGGTTGTGCTTTCACCTGCTTAGCTTTAGAGCCAGGGATGCAATATCGCCTCCAGGCAGAAGCACAAATGACAACCTTTTCTATTAATATTAAAGACAAAGCTAAGATAAGATCTAAGTGACAGATGAAACTAGGAGAGGGCTGTGTCAAAAAGAGGATTTACTTGACAGGCTGTGTTTGCCCAGCAGATGGTATCACTAATAACTTCAGCCATGCTGCTTTCCACCTACTTTCAACCTAGCAAGGACCGATACAAAACATCTGTTGGCTATGGTGAACAACAAGATGCTGTCTCTTCCCATTACCTGTTGCCAGCTAGACTGGCAGGTGAACCATTCTTCAGCATAGCAATGGGAGGACTTTCTTCACCATATCTTTAGGCAGGAAGCTACAATGGGGCAGTTCAAAGGTACATCTAAACTGTAGAATTAACACCACTTGAACTGTCATGACTCAATCCTATGGAATCATGACAATTATAGTTTGTTGAGGCACCAGTATTCTTTGGCAAAGAAGTCTAAAGAGTCTGTGAAACTACAACTCCCAAACTACAACTGTGTGTTGATATTTCTTCCAAAACCCATTATGCTTGAAATGATATAAAAACACACTTTAAGGGTTACAATTCACAGAATCCACTGCTACCATAGCCATTCTGGTAAGACTCTGGGAGTTGCAGTCCAGAGCAGGCGATTCAAAGCTCTGGAAATATACATCAGGGGGATATAAAAATAGTTTGTGGTGTTTGGGAAGTGATTGTTTTTCACAGCTTTGGGATCATTATCTAATGCAAAGTGTGTATATTTACATTTTCAAACCATAGAATCATAGAATCATAGAGTTGGAAGAGACCTCATGGGCCATCCAGTTCAACCCCTGCCAAGAAGCAGGAAAATTGCATTCAAAGCACCCCCGACAGATGGCCATCCAGCCTCTGTTTAAAAGCTTCCAAAGAAGGAGCCTCCACTGCACTCTGGGGCAGAGAGTTCCATTGCTGAACGGCTCTCACAGTCAGGAAGTTCTTCCTCATGTTCAGATGGAGCTTGGAAAAGTGATATCTTTGAACCATAATCCCCCAAATCCCTCTACAAGCACCACATTAAGTCACTGACAAATGTAATAAATACTGAAGGCTTTTTAGCAGTGAGGCATAATAAGTACCAGGATCTGTCAATAACATGGAAAATATTCCTCCATGTAAACCTTGACTAAACAGCTTCTTTACTCAAGTTAAACAAATTAAATATCTTCTTACCCCAGATTTTTTGGAGCCACTTGGCATTGCAGCTTCTTCCATATAGTTCAACTGTTTCCCTGGAATTAGGTTATTTGCAATATTTTCTCTCCAGCTTCTTTCTTTTGATTTATACATTTTCTGACAAGCTTCTGTGCAGCTTCCCGTACATATATACAGACACACATACACAGAGACACACTTCTCCCAACCTTTTGGCCAATCAGATAGACAACAGAACACACAAGAGAAATGCATCCCCAAGAAACAGGTTTGTCAATATCAGAACAGCAGCTTCAAGCTACAAAGACAAAATCTACTCAAGTTCTAATGCAAATCTGTTTACAAATATGGAAAACAAAGCAATGTTCCACAGACTGAAAATGCTCAGTAAACACTCCAGTCCTCAAGAAGAAGAATTCCAGACATTGCGATAATCACAGGACCATTACATCGACATCCCATACAAGCAAAGTGGTACTCAAAATCCTACAATCAGATGTGGAGTAAGAAATGCCAAATGTATGTGTGAGGTTCAGGAAAAGAAGTGGCACTAGGGATCATATTGTAAACATACATTGGATAATAGAGGGCACTAAAGAATTTCAGAAGAAAATCAGGCTGTGATTTATAGATCCACCCTTTGTGTTGATCACAAAATACTCTGGATCATTATTAAAGAAATTGGTGTACCACAACATTTGATTGCACAGCCCAATTTAAAAAATCTTGGTGTCTTGGTTTTTAGGTCTGTTTCTGGGGTTATATGGGGCACTGATTTAGAAAATTACATTGGACAGATAGCATCAGCTCTAATTTCTGGTTATTATGATTTTCCATGGGCAAACAGAGTGTTATATGGGATGTGTATGATTTCTCAAAACCTAGAGCTGATAGTGGGGAACTGGTGGCATTTTTGGAATCAGCAAGTCAAATATACCCAGAAATAGGTCTAACATTTGAGGCACCAAAATATGTGTTGACCAGTGTTAGACATAATGTGTACTCAGAAAAAGAGACTACCATTAGAGCAGAATACAGAGAAATGTAATGGTTTCCAATTTGGCAAGGAGATCAAGCAAAATTGCACTTTATCATCCTATTTAACGTCTATTCTGAATGTACCATATATACAGCAGGCTTAGATTCAAAGGCAGTGTGAAAATTGAAGAAAGTAGCAGCAAGAATGTAATGACACCATATCTTTTGCAGAAAAAAAATTGAATACTTAGGACCTTATCACACAAGCCCCCACCCCCACGTGCCATTTCACCAACTAGCAGTGACACTTCCCCCATCACACAGGAGAAGCATTGCTGAGCCGGGGTGGAAGAGGGCTGGCTTCATTGTAGCCAGCACAACACGGGAGCCTTCTCGTGTTGACAAGGAAGCATCCTACAATGCTTTCACACTGGTTAGGGCCTCCGATGGAAGTTGAGGGACATTGTGGTGCAGTTGTCTGAGTGTCAGCTGCATTAAGATCACTTCTGACCACAAGGTCATGAGTTCGAAGCCAGCCCAGGTCGGAGTGGGCTTCCGACCAATTGTGTACCCTGTTGTCGACTTTTGCAACCTGAAAGACAGTTGCATCTGTAAAGTAGGAAAATTAGGTACCACCTATGTGTAGGGAGGCTAATTTCACAAAAATTTACAAGGCCATAAAAAAGACTCCAGCAAAGCACTCCAGCAAAAGCATGCGGGGAATGCGGAAGTACTTCATCAGCATCGCAGATGGACAATGAAAGCGACAGTTCCCCTGGTGGCCAGAAAAAAAAGTTAAACAGCCTCTGACTGTTTGTCTATTTCTGTTGTGTGTCTTGGCATTGAATATTTGCCATATATGTCTACATTGTAATCCACCCTGAGTCCCCTGCAGGGTGAGAAGGTTGGAATATAAATAGTGTAAATAAATAAGTAAATAAATAAATTGTGTGATGGGCTGCATGCCCATTCATCCCTCAATTGGTTGGCAGGCATCCTAAGATGCTTAAATTGGTAAGTGTGATGAGGTCCTTAGTAAAGACAGTCAAGGAAGAAAGTGCAGATGAGAAAACAAAAATAATGATCACAGAACATTTATATAATTTTCAAGCAGACAGTAAAAACATTGAAAAAAATTGAAATTTTCCATATCTTGCCTCAGTCATTAATCAAAATGGAGACTGCAGCTGAGAAATCAGAAGAACATCAGGACCTGGAAGGTAGCTATGAAGGAATTAGACAAGGCCTGAAGAATAAAGATATATAATTGAAAAGTAAAGTTAGGATGGCCCATGCTGTTGTATTTCCCATTTCTATGTGTGACTGTAAAAACTGGTCACTGAATTTCTTTGAAATTGGTGCTAGAGGAGTGAAATAAATCTTGTCTTAGAACAAATCAAGCCTGGAAGCCAAAATAAATAAACAGAGACTGCCGTACTTTGGCTATATCATGCAAAGAAATTACTCACTAGAAAGACAATATTGCTTGGTTACATGGAAAGCAACAGAAAAAGAGGAAGATCAGTTTCTGGTGGATAGACTTGATTAAGGGCCCTTCCGCACAGCCATATAACCCAGAATATAAAGGTAGAAAATCCCGCACATTATCTGTTTTGGATTGGGTTTTCTCTGTCCACACTGCCATATATTCCAGTTCAAAGCAGAAAATGTGGGATTTTATTCAGCTGTGTGGAAAAAGCCACAGCCCCGAGACTCTAAAAACTGAGCAGAGCTGTTGATGTTGGGCTGATGTAGAGGTCTATCCCTTCATAGAGTTGCCATAAACCTTGACAACAATTAACAACAGCATATCTAAGTGTTTCAAATCCTTCAACACTTGCCTTGTCTTAAAAAGGGAAGCTCTTTAACCAAGCGTTGGGAAGGTTTTACTATCCACATGTTGAGAAACCACAGTATACATCATGCCTCACCCTTAACATCAATAACTAGGGATGAGGAAAATTGAAATTCAGCAACATCTGGAAGCCCATGGGTTCCCCTTAATCCTGTCATTACCCTCAAAATACAGTAACAGAACCTCATTCACACAGCACATGATATGATTACTTTGAATAAAAAACAACTACACTTAAAAAAAAGGTTTAGGGTTTTGGGGAGGTCTGACCTTTTAAATTTGGCATGGGTACATGTAGCCGCCAAACCAAGGATACGAATAAAAATGTTTTTAGTTTAAGAATTTTTAAACTCCTAAAGATTATTTTTATTATGTTCCAAGTTATTATGGAGTATTGCTTATTTTAGTAGTACATATAATGTTGTTTTGCCTACTGCCATCATCATCATCATCATCATCATCATCATCATCATTTTAGAAATAATAACAGAGTCACCCAGAGATCCTGGGGAATTGGCCTGCATTCCTCCTTGCTAGGATTATCTATAAGATCTCTGTCGAAAGCAGAGATTTTAATAAAAAGATTTTATGAACCTATTATGACTGTTAAAGCCTGCAGAGTCTTAGATTTTGGTGATATCTTTCTGGTCATCTGTGTCAAGATCAGTGACTTGGGCGCCAAACACAGGTAATTGTTTAAAAATATTCTCTTTTTACTTCAAAGAAGACCTCAAGAGGAAAGGCAAAGGCACCTTTTTGTATTACAATAAATTCTAGATGTATTCCATCTTACCATTAAAGGAAAAAATTATATCCTCTAAGCCTTAGTTTCCAATTCCTAAAAACTGTAGTCCCAAAAGTATGTGAATATGTGAGTCGTGTCCATGCAGAATGGTTGTGGCTACTGCGTGGGCATGAGTGAGACAGAGGGCATAATATTAACTTTCTCTTTATAACAAAATCCGCCATCACATCAGTAGATCCTGCTTAACAAGCTGCTTTTGGCTTTCTGAATTTTTCCCCCTAGGGATTCTTACATGGTGGCATAGGAGTATAATTCTGTCATCTCTGTGTCTTCTCTTTTGTAGTCTCTGTGTTAAATGAAGCTCCCTGTTAGGCACCAAACTGAGATTGCTGAAACGCAATGAGATGTGCATTTAATTAATATGTGGTAGGTTTTTCTTTTTAAAAATCCTGTTAAAGCAATCCCTTCCCATTGAAGTAAGATTTCTCATATCATCTACCTTGATAGTTTATTTTAATGATTAAGTTCATTTGGCCATAAGTGGTTCTTCCACTAGAATGCCAACAATCTATCCAACAGGGCACATGTGTCAAACCTAAGGCCTATGGGCCAAATGCAGCTTGTTATGTCATTTTATGTGGCCCTCCAGATGCTGGACTACAACTCCTGTGTTCCTTATCATTAGACTTCATGACTAGGGCTGATGGGAGTTGTGAAACAGTAAGATCTGGAAGGCTGCAGTTTCTTTAGTTTAGTCAGGATAGTGGGGATTGAATCTAGATACAAGGCTTGTGGATATGATGCCTGACTTTAAAATTTCCTCAAACATTTCCCCAATCTCAGTACTACAAGGGTGCTAAAGAGCACTGGTCGCTATGTAAAAATATATATATATTGTTGGTCTTCGGTATTCACTGATTCTCCATCCATGGATTCAATGACTCTTTGAAGGCAACAATAAACCTGATGTCCTCCTTGATGAAAATAAGTTTGATACTTCTGCAATAGGGGAATAGTGTGGCCCACCAGATTCTTTTTAAAATGTTATTGTTTATTGAAATATATCTACATTTCCCTTTACAATGGGACCTAGGTGTTGCGTACAACAGAAACAATTTAAAATCCTTCCAAATTAAATCCATAGGTATTTTAAACAAGAAGATAGCAAGAGTTAAAACCATTTCAAAATCTCTTCCAGTTTAATACAATGTTATTGTATACAGACATGCAAAAAAGAAGCTCATTTTCCGGGGATGACACAAGCCTCTGGCAAATAAGCTCATTTTTTTACAATGACTTTTTGTGCCCACAACAGTTTCCACTTTTCCTCCTTGTCCTCTGTCTACCTATGTATTTATTTAGCAAATACAACATTGGGAAAATGGTGCAGGACTATGAAAAAATGTTATCAATATTAAATGTGTGAAACAAACAATCCAATGAATGCTTGACTGGAAAAAATGAGATTCTGCTCTAGCTGTATGTGCCTCCCTATAAAAGAGAAGGTAAACAGCAGCTGCCGCCAGATAATTTTATTGAGCATTCATT